GGCACATGTTTTGTCTGCAAGCCAATTTTCTCATTGTGCCTGTTGTTATGTTTTGCTTCTCGTGTCTCTGGAAGAGTGGGCTCTGCTCCTAAGTTCTGCCTATCCACTTGCTGCTTCAGGACTGATGTTAAAGCAGTGGTAGAGCTTGGCTCTGGAGGAGAAAGGAGTTTGTTTTAGTGCTGACTTTGCTTTTGGCTACCTGTAGAGTATGTGGCCTTGCAGATGGTGTCACTCTCAGCACCTCCTCTGAATGGTAGTTCCTCTGTGTAGCTCTGAGATGTGGTGTCAGTAACAGTGGTCTGTGCTATCAGGATTGCTCTGCCTGTGTTGCTGGGGAAGGCCATGACTGGCCTGCAGACCCTGTGCCACAGGCTCTCCTCCAGTGCCATGAATGCACATTGCCATAGCACGTGACTCTCAGTGTTGACTTCTTTTGCTCTTTGTTCTGCAACCAAAGTAGTCAATCATGTCTGCTTCCCTTGATTCTTCAGTGCTCCGGTTATTTTTGGAGTTAAGATAAGCTGAGGAGTGAGAAGAAGGCTATTTTTGCATCTTGTGCCTGGATTAAAGATGTGACGTACTCTGTGAAGACTAATCCCTCTCTACTTAGCTGTAAACTGAAAAGATTTAAGTGAAAGGTGTTTCCTGCTTAGATCATGAGTTCTTCTCTTCGGTGTCATTTCCATAAGTTGCAATAAGAATGTCTTTGTATTGATATTTGCTTCTTAAAGCGGGATAGTGACTAACGCAGTGGGGAGGCAATATTGCAGAATATTTTGAAGGTTATTTGAAGTAGTGTTTATTTGAAGTAGGTTGCAGAAGCTTTTGATGCCAGCAGCACCTGCTTTCTTGATACAGATGGTTCCAATCAGAGAGAGAATAAGAGGAAGACTTATGCTGAGCTGTAGTAAATACTCAGAATACTTCTTAAATGCTGTAAAAGCCACTTGATTATGCTGCCTTCCTTGCTCCCACTCAAAGCCTGCTGGAGGTATTTGATTTCTTAAATCTCTGTACTTCACAGTAATAAGAGAACAAAGTTTGTCACTTGTTCAGGAAACAGATTCTGATCCCAATTTCCAGTGGTCACAGCTGGCACAGCCACTGAAAGGAAGGTGGGGCAGCTGGTGGTGTGTTGGTGCAGGCTGAAGTCAAAGGGGAGGAGAGAGAGGTTGCATGAGAGCAGAAGTTGTGTTCTTGGATCTGCCAGCAAGAGTTTTGCATATCAAGGAAGAAAATAGACCAGAATTGTTTCACATAAAAGTGTGGGAGCTGCCTTACTGGACTGGAATGACAAGCTGTCTGATCTTATGTATCAGTCACAAACAGGCTACCTGCTTTCCAGAAACACGCACAAACTTGCTTATGATTCATGCTTATCTTATGCTATGGTATAAAAGCTGGTGTTTCATCATAATTTTTTAATCTTGTCTGCATGGAATTATCTGCTCCTGTACTCTCTCTCAAGATGATGAGCAGCTGCTCAGAGCCCTGTGGTACGTCTGAGCTGTTGCCGTCAGGTAGTTTCCTTTTGACAGTGCTTCCAATTTGTGTAGTGTTGATAGCTTTTTTTCTTCTTTTCTTATTTTTCTTTTTTTAAATATGGTTCAGTGGTCTCCTGTGATTTTAAATAACCAGAAGTCATGCAGTCATCTGAAGCAGTAATCTCATCTGCCAACGCTGCCGTTTTGCTGTCTGGCTGTTGTGCAGCCCCTGTGCAGCCATCGGGGGGGGGGAAGTTCTCTGCTAAGGAACGAAGGTCGGGGTGGTGGCAGCTTGGTTGTGCTGGCGCTAGAAGCAGAAGGGCTCAAAGGTGCCCTCAGAAGTCCGAAAGGTGGTTTGGGGGATTAGTTTGTCATTGTTTAGACCTTTTTTCATTTTAAAAGCTGAATAAATTGGAAATACTCTCCAGTACAACTGAGATTTGAAACGCTGCTGGATGGTGGAATGGTTTGCTTTCAAACTGTGAAGTGCTAAAATTCAAACATATTTGCTAACTGCTGTGTTTTGTAATCTGGCCAGAGCCTCTATCCTGCTTTGCCAAAGTGTGGTTAGTACTAGATTTTTCTAGGACTGCTCCAAGCATCTGACTTCTTTAAGGTTCAGAAAGAGATCCTTCGTTGACTGACCTCCCCTTCCCTTATAACCTGCACTTGACCATTCATTGAACCCAAACCCTCCTACAGCTCCAGCGCTTGGCATCGAGTTGTGAGGAATTCTTTTTCAAAGGCTTTATGAAAGCTACAAGTACATGATACTGTTGTTTTATAAGATTCTTTGTTGCTTTATAACTTTGAGACCCAGGGTAGGGGCAGAGGTTTCATGTCCTGATTGGGGGGGGGGGGGGGGGGGGGGGGGGGGGGGGGGGGGGGAAGACTCTCAGATCAATAGATCACACAGGATAGTTCTTGTGTTGTGGGGTTTTGTTGTTTTGTTTTAGTAAAATCAGTTACAATCAATCAGGTTTTCAGCATCTGTGGAGGTGTTTTGGTGTTGTGCTTCAAGGAAATATAACTTTTATTGAGGCGAGGTAGCTGTTTCTTCTAGTCTAGCAATTGTTCAATGTGACAGGTGATATATTCTGTCTGTGTTGTGTGAGGCATGCTCATGAAACAAAATATTTCAGAAGCAATATTTTGATTTACTTTCATAAAATCATGAAGGCTGGGAAAGACCTGTAAGATCATCCGGTCCAGCTAATCCCATCCCACTAATGCCCACTGACCACAGCCCTCAGGGCCACATCTCCATGGTTCCTGAACACCCCCAGGGACGGTGACTGCACCTCCTCCCTGGGCAGCCTGTGCCACTGCATCACTTTAGTTTTCCTTAATTAAAAATCCTTGTGCAGTATTTAGAGCAGGAACGTTGCATAAGGAAAGCCTGAAAACACACCTGGGCTGAAAGGGGCGGAGTGGCTGCTTTTATCTCTTCATGGTCAGAAGAAGCAGATGGTATACAAGGAAACCAGTAAAATAATACCTAAAGAAACTTCTGCTGTGATCATTCTGTGTGGGTCATTTGTCAGTGCTGAAGCCAGTGGAAGACCATTGTTTTGAAGTGGGAGTTGCAGGGTTGCACCCAGTGTTATTTGTAGTTACAATTGACAGTTACATACATCAGTTTACAAAATAGCTCGTGGTAATTTGTTGACTCTTAAGAGTTTATTCTGATGATTTGCTGTTTGTTTGGACTGCTTCAGAAAGCAAGAGCAAAGGGCACAGTGTTCTGTAGCTGTGCAAGACAACTTTCACTGGTTTTTGGACTAGTGAGATGAGAGTGCTGAAACTGGAGCTTGTTGAAAGGACATGCAAGTACAAGTATGATATGAGCTAGTGTGTCAGCGTGTGATATCAAGCCCATTCCTTCTCAGAGGGAACAGTAGTAACTTGTTATCTGTCATGTAATTCTTCTTTCCATCACTGTAATAACAAGCTGTGTGGATTTTTCTTTTAGTCTAGTGGGGAGAAAGAGGTGCTGAGTGAGAATGCCGTGTGCCAAGCAGGAAGTTTTCACTGGAAGCAGCAGCTTTCTTTTGCTTGGTGGAAATAACAGTGAACTTTCTGTGTTGCTTTTTTTTTTTTTCCAGTTTCATTATGAATTTTTGACATACTGAGTGCTTTCTTTAAAAAAAAAAAAAAAAAAAAGCAAGCTTTGTGAGTTGGCATTTGGATTTCTGCATCGAGGGATTGTTTTTTGTTTCATCTTTATTAGAAATGGATATATGTTTTTTCTGGCATTTCTTTAGGGAAAAGTATACAGTCTGTAATTGAGGTCCTGTGAGCAATTATCTCTGTGTTCCCATCGATGTGCTTTGTTGGTGAACAGTCAGCTTCTGCTCACTTCTTTGGGTGGGTGCTGGGGATGAGCCTCCGTTTCAGATGGATGCTGCCCACCTACTCTCTGCCACGTACTGGAGCCACGCAAGAATAGAACCATCCCATCGCTCCCGGGGGCGGAAATCCTGCATCATGTTGCTGGCTGAATAGTGACTGAGGATAAGAAGGCTCTCAGTGGGCTGGCATGGAGCAGCGCTGCCTCCCGTGCCCCAGAGATGGGATGTGTGGGCCAAGGCATGGAGGAGGTTCATCTGGGTGCACGGGACTGCCGTTTTGCTCTTGAGACACTGAGAGCCCGTTTCTGTGCCTGCTGAGAGGTGATGCTTCATCCTGAACTTCACCTGAGCAATACCTGCTTTCAGCTGATGCTTTTGAAGTTCTAAGATTGTCGCATACCTCCGTATGTTTGTGTTGTTCCTCACTGTTCTCTGGTTGTGCGTGTGCCCTTCTCAAGCATCTTAATCCTACCTTACTGAAGTGCTTAGCTGTAGAGCTCTTTTTTTTTTTTCTCGTCGTTTCCCGAGCCGATAAATCCGTCCTAAAATTTCTCTATGCATGGGAAATCTGAGCTCAAAGGTACCACATGAGGGGGTTGCACAACAAAAATAGAATGGAACTGTGCACCTGCTGTGAAAACAAAGGTACTTACTTCACTCGTGCAGCGGCATCCAGCGCATGAGAGGAATACAGATGTCTCTTTGTATTCCTTGCACTGCTCTTTGTAGTACGGGGGCGGCTGATGAGAAATCCGTGCTGTGCTGCTCAGAAATTGCCCAGCAGAGCCTGATGAGAAGCTGCTGGGGATGATGAGACCTAATTGCCGTCCCTGCATCAGCAGCGCCTATGAAGCATCCTGGGAATTGCTCGCCCCACGCTCAGAGCAGCTGGTCACATGAGCTTGAATTTTCAGTTCAGTTCATTAGTCAGCCATTTTGGTCAACACCCTGCTTACTGCGCACAACCAATCCTAGCAGCACTCGCTGCCCTGCCTGAGCTGGCAAGAAAGGCACCAGCAGCTTCATTTCAGCAAACCTGGAGATCTTTTTCTACGTTCTTCCTTTGTTTTTGCTTGGGTAGCCATCAGAGGAAGCCCTTTTTTTTTTCTTCCTCCTGCATTTTTTTTTTTCTTTTAATATTTTTTTTAATCTTTTTTTTTTTCCATCTTTGATGCAGAAGCCAGGTTTCCTGTGGTTGCTTAGGATCGATAGCCTTTAGCATTATCTGAAGACAACGACAGCTGACGAAGAGGAGGGAGGAACAGACGAGCGTGAAGGAGCAGCGTTTTTACCTTGCTTTATATATGAAAAGGCCAAAGCAGTCTGTGCGATCCTGAGCATATCTGACCTATAAAGCAAGGTATTTCTTGTTTTCTTCTTCCAAAAGCCCTTCTTCTTAGTTCTTTTTTCCCTGTTGTTGTCGTACCAGCTGAGTCATCATGTCTGCTCTGACGCCTCAAAGCGACATGCCAACCCCCACCACCGACAAGATCACTCAGGCTGCCATGGAGACCATCTATCTTTGCAAATTCCGAGTGTCCATGGACGGAGAATGGCTCTGCTTGCGCGAGCTGGATGACATCTCGCTGACCCCCGACCCAGAGCCTACCCATGAAGGTATGGTCCAGTTTGCTGCCTCGGGATCCCTGCAGCCGTCGCATTGTTACTGCTGCTGCAAGAGTTGGGAGGGGGTGTCTCCAGGATGAGATGCTCTTGTCCAGCCTGCAGTACCTGGAAATCGTGTGATGTACCAGAAAGCCAACTCAGTGCTTCTCACTGCTCTTGTCTTTCGTAATCCGCCCTTTTAACAGAGACGGATCTGTGCTTTTTTATTATTATTATTTTTTTTTGAATGTATCAGGAAAGATTGGGTTTGTGTCTCAGGAAGGAATGTGCTGTGATGTGTATTCCACAAAGCATACTGGTAGCATGCTGACTTCTGTCTGCATACGGTCAGTGGGTAATTTTTGGAAAGCCCCAGGTGATTGCACAGCTGTGCTTATTGTCAGGTGATAATGCCACCATGAGTCTTGCCCCTTGCTTCTGTTGAGCATGCTGCTGTTTATTATAGCTCAGGTGCCTGGAACGTGGAGGTATAAGACATCTTGCTTTTTATTGAGAATAGCTTTGTAATCTGGGCTGATGGTGAAAGCAATTTAATACCAGGTCACGTGAAGTGAGAACTGAAAGCTTTGTGAGACAGAAATGGAGAAGACAGCCACCCACTGCATCTCCTCCTTGCCCTTGGTAGGGCAGAGTTTCTGCAGAAATTGATTGTAAGATGGTCTTGTGCTTCCAGAGTTACTTAGCATCAATACTGCTGGGTTCTGAGTGACACTTGGGGGACGCTGAGCATCTTTCCGTCCTGCAGTGAGGGAATTCCATCTTTGCACTCCAGGCTGTTTTCTGTTAATAGTTAAGTATGATTCCACCAAGTAGCCTTGTTTGGCCCATTTGATGGGGTTTGTCAAATCAGTAACATCTTTCTCTACTGTTGTCTTGTGGATGCAGCAGTTTAAATTGTTGTGTGAATTTGAGCTTTAAACTTAACTGAGCAGCGGCAGCTGTTGGGTTTGGATTTGTTTGTCAAGGGGGGGGATTAGAGAGGGATTTCAAAAGCAGAGGCTGACATTCCCTCTGAAGCACATCCCAGCATTCCGGTGAGGTGCTGTGGGCTCAGGGTGCAGCAATTCAACTGACTTGCAGTTTCCACGTTCTTATATGTGGCATGGACTTAGGCAGTCTTCTGTGGTATTAGACTTCATTTTGTTTTGTTTTAACAGAGTCTTCTAGTGTTGATAGATTGATCTTTGTTCTCTCTGTCTCCTTCTTCCTCCATCTTTCTGATAAACACTAGCCTCCCTTATGATTTGTCACTCTGGGGTTAGTAAATGACCTGAGCAGTCTAGGGCACTCTGGAAAACCTCTCTGTCACACTGCAAGTCTGTTAGTTAGGTCCTTGTTCTCATATGAGTCTCTTTCTCTCTCCTTTCCTCCTTACTTTAGTCAAGCTCAAGGCAGGATAGGCTTAGATGATTCCATCTACCCCTGTGCACAGCCTTAAGCTTTTCTGGATTACCTTTCCCGAATATATTGAAAATGTGTCTCTATAGCATACAAAGTGCACTCTTGTAGGCAATGAAAGCACTAATACTGGACTAAAGCTTCCCAAAGTACAAAAATAATTGTTTTAAATGCTCTTATTATAGGCAGTCTCTTGTAGGTACCAGAAAGGTTTGGTTGGAAAACAGTGTTTGCTTATTTCACTGCAATATTGATTCTAATGTCAAAAAAGAATAAAAAGAGAGATGTATGAAAATGACCTTTATGGAGATATTTATACATTTATAATGTAATGTTGCTTGTTGGAAGGGAGAAAGACTTGATCCAAATTATGTTATTAACAGAGACGATAAGAAGTGTTCATAACAGGAAAGCTGACACAGCTTTATCCCTAGCATTGGAGCTGCTGTTACTGCATCAGCACTGCTCCTGTGTCCTCTGTGCGCGGGGATGAGGGGACAGGAAGACAGCTTGCAGATGTTGGGTGCTCCTCTGAGAGGGAAAGCAGGGAGTGAGGGCTTGTTCTGTAGCTTCCCTGTAATTCTGATGTAGGAAGGAAGGAACTGAAGGAGAAAAAAAAAAGCCCAGGAGTTCTGCCAAATGCGTAATGAGAAATTGTATTTTTTTCTTACAAATCAAGACATAAAATCAGGATGTAGTTCAGTCACGTATCTGAAAGAAGGATTTAACTCTTGTTGCTGTCCTTCAGCTCTTGCTGCTTCCCAAAAGGTTTTGCCTTTGGGCTCTCTCCACTGATTTGCAGTGCCCCCTTGCCATCCTGCTTTCCTCCTCCTCCTCCTCGCTGTCTGTACTCCTGCTGGGCTGCTCTCATGTGACATGTGGTGATGACTCAGTCAGTGAATGAGGTGGGAGACCTGGGGACTGTGGCTTCTCCTCCTGGCTTCCCAGTTTTTTCAGCTGTACATCTTGCAGGCCTGACACCTTCCTGCTTTGCTTCACGTGGTCGGCTGCAGTGTGATGCTCTGCTTCTTGTTTTTAAAGATGCTTTTTTGTTGTTGTGGTTCTACCACAGTCAGTGCAAAACAAGTGAAGTAACTGAAAAAACTGGATTGCTGCTAAACAAAAAGCTGCAGTAATTTGTTTATTTTTCTTTCTAGTGAAAGCAGATTGTAAACAGGGATTAGTTTTATTGCTGTTGCTTTTCTTTTTTTTTCTTATTGACAGTTCAAGCAGGTTACTTAGGAAACGTGGTTTAAATCTGAAAGAGGAAGTTAAAGGAAGTGATTCTTGCTTAGCCTGGTTTTATATCCCTCATCAAAACCCCGTGTTTTAGTTCCAGTGAGAAAGAGGCTTCAGATGATATCTCAGCAGTGCCAGCTCACGGCAATGCAATGCCTTGGGGAGCTGGAGGCCAGTGCTGCACTCTCTGCTTTTGCTCCAAGGGCTCCCCAAGCAGAGGCAGCTGGTGCTTGCTGTTCTCAGGGCTGACCTTGTTGCTCTTAAACAACAGTTCTGAATTAGGAACTCTGAAGTGTACTGTGCTGTGCAGGCATCACAAGGTGGCGAAATGCGGCACAATTGGCTTTTGTACTCTTGTTTGTTTGTAACAGATGTAGTGGTTGTTGAGGCACCCTTAGAGACTGGGCTGGGAAAAAGTGCCTGCACAGACAAGATTGAACACTGATGGGAACTTTTAGGGAAGGTGCCAGATGGACCTGTACAGTTCTTACTGTTTGGTAGATTTCTATTTAGAATAAGCATTCTTCATGAGGAGCTTCATGCTAGAGCAATGAAATCTTAATCCTCACCAGATCGACTTCTAATTGAGAGCAGAAAGAATGTGATAGCTGTGCGATCTGAAACTGTGTGCTATCAAGCGTTGCAGTATCACTTAAACAGAACCGTAAAACCGACATCTGCTTGCAGCTACTTTTTCATCCTTCTTGCACGTTTCAAAATGGTTTAAAGCAACAGCAAGATCTCATTAGTTATGTTTTTGTTTTGCAAATAAGTAGCTTCTCAGTGCTAAAGTTTGCATGCTGTGGGTGTGAGAATCGCCTTATTTCAGTCTGGGGAGCTGCAGTACTCTTTAGTTTGGTCCAAATTGTGTGACACTCGCAGCCCAGCCTGGTACGAGCCCTCAAGTGTGGGGACTGAGGTCCTGCTATAAAACTGCACAGAGCAAAATACACCTAGGAGGAAACTCTGGCAACTGTTTTGTTGCACCTTTTTTTTCTAGTGGTGTGGAATAGAAGCAAACTGCTGGGAGAGGTGGGAATGGCTTTAGGAGTTGTATCTTTTACATTATAAAACAAATCTCATGTAAGCACCCTGCTGAGGGTAGCAGAGACCTTTTGCACTTTCAAAGAAACTGCATGAGTTTGGTTTTTTTTTATTGTAAGAAAAGTACCTTTTCTGGTGGCAGAAACCCCTAAGCAGGGCAAAAGTTTGAGGAGGCTTAAAGAAGTGCATGGATTGCCAGATACTCCTAGGTCGGTCGTATAGCCTCCTTATAGGCATGAGCTAGAGACTTGATTTAATACAACAAATGTAAGGTTGGTTATGTTTAAGGTGTGTGAATTACGGTCTGTTAAGAATCACAGTCTTTTGAATAGTAGTTAGGCCATGTAATCCAGGCAGCACATAGTCTTTATTGCATTGCTTTTCACTGTCATCCTCCTGTAGAACAGGAAGGAGATGTCCTCCTTGCTGCATTTGTGCTGAATCCCATCACAAGCCAGGAGCTGAAGGAATGGCAGGACAGAGGAAACAGGACTCCAAACCAAAGGAAGATTAAGTTTTAAAGCTCTTTATGGCAATCAGTACTATATGCCAGTCCTCAAATGAATTGAAAAATGAATGCCCTGTAAGGTATAAGGACGAGGGTGACGTCAGCTCAAGTTCTGTTTTGATTTAAAGTTTAAACTTTTTGTAATTCTTTTCCATGTTATAATTGGCAAATAGCATTCTAGAATTGTTTGCTTTTCTAAGCTTGCTCAGCCTGAATGAAGTGCAATGAGCTTGGGAAATATGGAGAAAGCTTCTTTCCCTGAGAAATAATTGGAAGCTGCAGAGAAACATTTTGGGTGCCAACCAAGATGCAAAATGAAAAATTGAAGAAAAAAAAGTGTGTTTTCTTTTTCTTTTTCAGTGTGCATGTGTTCAAAATAAAATAGGCAATTTCCCATTGCAGTTGTTCATAAATTTCTGCTTGGAACAAGACTGTGGAGAAACAGTAAATGATCTCAGTTATGTGCACGCAATTGCAAGGTACATACCTTGTTTGTTGCAGATAACGAACATACATACGGAAGTACCTGGTTTGTTGCAGATCCTTGACTGTTCTTTGTGTTAGCACAGTGCAACCCTTTACATGTGTTAAAATGCTTCTGGCATGGGATTGAAGTAAAGTTTTAGGCTATGACTTCATGCTTCAAACGAGCAGCACTTTGTAAAGTCAGTGATGGTAACAGCCTTTAAAAGAAAATCATAACAGTGCTGTTTTTTTCACTATAAAATATTGAAGTCAGTTGTTGCAATTGGTGATGGAAGCACAAGCTGTTGGTGCTGTAAGGTGAGGTAAAGAAAGCAGT